TACAGTTATTTGGCGGATCTATGGTAGAATAATGGGTACATATCGGGAGATTTGTCTTCCGATATGTACCCGTTATTAAACCGGTGAATTCCGGTCAAATTTGTTGATCACTTGACCAGATCTGAAGTGAAATAATTTAAAATCTGGCAAAATGATCGACAATTTTGACCGGAATTTAACTGATGGGTTTGGATCCGCCGATATGCTTAACTAATCATCAGGTGTAAAAATCAAATAATAGAATAAAGCAAAATAATCATTCTAAAAAGCTCTTTATGTTTAATGTTAAATAATCATTCTAATGGCATTTTTATGGTCGGTGCTAAAATACTGTAATTCTATTAGTGGTTGCTTCATATCCAATCTACGTATATATTTTCATGTAAGCTTAACGTTAATATGTTGATCATTTTTAATATTAATAAAAATGCCAAAAAAAATGTATAGCCATTGTTATTTTCAAAAGCTGTAGAGAAATAGAATCATCGTTCAAACAAATGTTAAATTCATTATAAATAAAATATAAAAGATAATAAATTGTTTAAGTGGAATCATATCATTTATTAAACAAGATGAAATTTATTATATATCTGTTTGTGAAAATATTTGTTGTCTACTTATTCGGTTATCGACGGGAATTCTTACAGGTTGACCAGATATTGTATTCCGATACCTGAAAGGCCCTATTTCATCGCTCTTGTAGTTCTAAGTAAAGGGTTGAAAGCACTTATTATGTCATTAGCTGATATAGAAACTGTTAAATGCCCAACTACGGATACCGTAGTCGCGGATGCTTATTCATGATAGGATTAAAATTTAATCTCACATGATATGATATTCCACCAATTAAACTACGTAGTCTCCAATATACTGTATGCAGTACAATCAAGTCACGAGGGTGCTTATTTATGATCGACAACTTGCACTAGAATGTAAATTTAAATCTTTCTTTTGATGAAGGTCCGAGGTAAATTTAAATTTATATGTATATTTATATTGCAAATGCAATTTAAATAATGTTCTTACAATAAATTTAATTTTATTTTCTTCAGTTTGTAGACAGTACCTTTACTTCATCGATTTAAAAAATATCAAAGTTCCTTTTCATTATTGGTTTCGAGTAGTTGCATATCCTGAAATTTTGTAATGATGTAAAAATTTTTCGATCTTTCTTATTTCTAGCAATTATTTTCTCGACGTTAATTAAATGTCAACTACTGTATGTTTATAATTTACCGGCAAAGCAAGATAAATTTTTTATATTATACAAGCGAAATTATCACTTTTATGATTTCATAAAATATATTGTTTGAGGGTCTAAGGTATGGACTAAGTTATTATTATGTCAGGAAAATGTTTGTGTTAAGAAATAGATGTTGAAATTTAAAGTCACCGTATAATTTCTGGTAAGCAATATTAGAAATTATGAAATAGAAGTTTTTAGACTTTATGATAATATCATAGCGACATTAAATAACATTGATATTAAATTTACATATAATCTTCGTGCAACATTTTTTAGTGAGAAAAAAATAAAATAAAAAATGTTCACAAAATCATGGGCGAAAATGCCATTTTGCAAAATGTCACGACCTATTGCCTTAGAAAAGTCTTATCAGTCACCGTTATATTCAACTCCGCTTATTCACATTATGCGCAGCAGTTGTTCAGCAAAATAATAGTATGCTATCGAATTGTATGAAAAGTAGTAAGTTTCGCATACAAATTGAGGCAATATTTAGTTTACAATAGACCAATTATAAGCCATTGAGCATAAGCTCGTAAGATCTTTATTTTATAATTTTTTTTTTATAAGTTCACATTTTGATTAAATGAACTAGACAAAATCTTATGTGACTATAATTAATTCATTCATTGAAATTTTAGAAACTTCCATTAGTAATCAGTTATGAAACAATAAAACAGTATAAATAAAGGCTATAGTAAAAGTTATTTGAAGAAAATGAAATATAAATTATATATATATAAAAAGAGTAAAATAAAATCTTTATATAAGCTTATACAAGATTAATTTCATTTCCATCCAAAGAAACCATATCATAATCATCATCATTATCGGTGCTAACATTATCAAAACTTTCAGCATCAGATTCTGAAAATGTGAAATCTTCTGTATCATCAGTATTATCAGAATCGTTAGAATCATTAAAAGATTCCGATGATCTAAAATCGAGAAAATATGATTCAGATAATGATGAAGACTCTTCTAATTCTTTATCATCTAATAAGTCTTTAGATTCTGATAAATGCTGTTCATCATTAGGTAATATTTTATATTCCAATAAATCTTTATCGTTAGTGTTATTTGATATTTTATCTAAAGAGGTAAACAAAATATAAATAAATAAATTGAATAGCTTGTCATTATACTAATAGTGATTATTCAAAATTAAAATAACAAATTCATTTATTACCTGAAGGAAACACCGAAGCAGTAGAAATAAATCCTGACTGTTCTAATTCATACAAGGTTGGCCAGAGCTTGCTAGTAAAAATTGCGTCTGGATGTTTAGTATATATACTACTCAACATCGGACCACCCCTTGAAGGTCCTTTCATTCTTCGATTTTTTCTTTCATCACTCGCATTTGCTTCACTCAAACTTGCAATTATTTCGCCTAATCCTTGGGCCGTTGGACGTTTATTTGGATCATTTTCCCAACAATCATATATAAGATTTATAAACCATTGTGGTATATCCGGTGTTATATCTTGTGGGAATTGTGGTCTTAATCCATCACAAATTTCATAAATCAATTGTTCGTTATGTGCACAATCTGAGAATGGAAGGCGATTTGTCGCCATCTCATACATAATTCCTCCAAGACTATATATATCTCCAGCTGTTGTATATGGTTCTCCTTTCAATACTTCTGGTGGAATGTATGGTAATACACCAAAAACATTTCGTTTTCGATTTTGTGATGATTCAGCGTTATAAGATTCTTTATTTACCGGATGGCATATTCCAAAATCATCAAGTTTTGGTTTAAAACTTATTTTTTGATAACGTACATTAGAATAATTCACAAGAATATTCTTGCTATGCAAGTTTCGGTGAACAATTCCTTCTTTGTGCAATGATGCTAATGCGCGTGTTATAGTGATTAATGCATTTTTTCTTGCGTCAAATTTTATTCCATTATGATTTACGAAAAGGCAATTATGTAGATCGTTGTTTCTTACGTATTCCATAACCATAACGTATTCTTTCGTTTTAGGACATTGTGTTATTCCATAACACTTTGCAAAATAATGATTCTTTTTAATGAATTGATGATGTTTTTTGACCTACGAATAAAAATATAAAATTTAGTGTGATTTTACTTTACTTGAATATACGCAAGTATGAATTAATATTAATATATCATATTAAAATATTTGTCGCAGCTGATGCTGAAATTTTGATTACTTTATTATTAAATTTTTCAATTTTTTGTGGTGCATTTTTTTAGTCTTCATATAATAGTTTGAGTAGAATTTATGGTCAGAGTTTATTAATTAAAGTGGTTTTATAGTTCTAAATAGAGATCCCAAAATTTCAGCATCAGCATCAGTTGCGACAATATTTAATATAGTACTAACCATATTTAAATAATCAGTTATCATCTCTTTTGAATTATTCAAATGTTTTAATATGACTATCGCTTCACCATTTCTTGCTCTAGATCCAAATCCTAAATTTATACTATTAATATATCCTTCTTTTGATTTGGCAAAATAAGTTGTGCCATATCCACCGTGACCTAAATACTCTATTTCTTGAAATTTCTCGTATGGAACCCATTTAATAAAATCTGTATCATTGTTCAGTTGTAATTCTTGGATTAGTTGTTCAATTCCTTTATTGCATGTTTCTGAATCTAACTGTGCTGCGCTTGGATCAGATTTAATTTCCTTGCTTAAATTTATATCTTTTTCAAAATTTTTAGCGATATCGGCTTTTACTTTACTTTCGTCATTTTTGGCTATATCTTGATTTAAAATGATTTCATTCTCTACTTTTTCAGTTATATCTGTTAACTCTGTAGTACTTAATATGGATTCGCTTACATTATTATTTATTATGATGTATGGTTCGATCTCAATTTCGGTGCTGTCTACCATATCTGTCATTATATCTGATTTTTATTCATTCAAAATTTTAAGTTTGTAAATTTATTCTTTAAAAAATGCTTTCTTTTATGAAAGTTTATTAGAACTTAAAAAATTCAATATAATAGTCATTCGCTTATATAAAGCGGAATACAAGTCCGAAATGACTCAAACTTATGTAGATCTTTCCAAAATGATATTGTGTGCAAAAAAGGCGGAGGTTTATTCATGCGCTAATTTATTCCTTTTAAAGTATAATAACGTAATACTTTACGCAATTAACATTCAATTCTACGTATTACAGTATTAACGTTAACTCCATTGAGTAAGTACATATGTATAAATACATATGTGGGGTTAAATATATATGTGCGTGCGTATCTTCTACGTACGCATTGTTTTGCGCAGCAAAGCATCTTTCAAGTATTATGTGCCCTATGTAGTAAAGTATTCTCCCTACCTTAAATTATCTGACTTAAAAAATAATATGAATTTTCTGCTAAAATATATTTTATACGTAATAGTGATTAAAAATCATGTTTTCATTTTTAACTGGATACTGTTAGAATAAAACTTGAGGAATATTTAGTTGTTTATTACACGTACAGTAAGTACTTACGTTCGTAGACGGCCTCCCTGAAGTTCAGGTTGGCAATCTACGTCACTGCTTCAGCTGCAGCAGCATTTAGTTATGTTCGTTTTCTTTATCCAATTTTTTATTATCGTTTGACAAATTTGTGCCACAATCATATTATTGGTACATGATGTTACTACTGCGGCAGTGACATCACCGTCAATCCAGGCCACCCTGATGTCATCTGCGGACGTACGTACGTACGTACATACGTATGTAGTAACGGAGAAACGTGACCTGACAACAGGCACATGACCAATAAATTATTACCAAATTTGTGATCCAAACCATAAATTCAAGGCCTTAAATATGTATTGATCGAACAGTGGTATTCGATAAATCTAATTAAAATCATAGCCGTGTAAATGAGCGTGAGACTCATCGTTAGTTATACTACTTGAATATTCATATTATAATGGATTTCTCAACACTATACGATATGTAATGTATAAAAAAAAAAACGAGAACAAAAAAAATATATATTTTTAAAAAACGGATCGTAAAAATAAGTATAGAAAATTATTTTCTGTGCTTTATGGGTAATTTCATTTGTATATTGATTTTCAATTTTTTTTTCTTCAAAATTAAAACATCATATTGGAAGAGAGTAATGTAACTTTTTATATTTTTCGTTTCAAAGAAATGATTGTGGAATTAACAATCAGATGAGGTTACATTAGGTTAAAAAGTAGTATCAATAAAAAGTTGAGAATGAATGCCATAATAGTGATTCTAAACATTGTATGCCATAACACAATTTAAAGAACGCATTTTTCAATGAATAAATTGGTTAGTAGATTTCCATTTTACTTTCATAAATTTTGTATCATGATGATTGGCAAACGGATTTTGACGACGATCATGGATTAAATAGTGTTATTCAAATTACTAAAAATGGTAATTTATATTTACAGACCGATATTAACTTCATACATACAAATTACCTAAATTCTTTATCAAATCTAAAGATCTATGCATAAATATGATATATATGACATTCCTTAAAGCCTTATCATACACATATGTATTCTTATGCGAGTACCAACCAATTTTTTATGCTTGTTATTGGGTCACTTCTAATACATGATGCACAAACTTTATTCATCTCTTATCGTTATCAGAGATGAACGAAATTTGTGCATCGCATTTAGAAATAACCAAACAAGATACAGAAAATGGTTAATGGGATCATATTATTAATAATAATCATTTA